AGTATGGAGAATGATTTTATGCACGAGTTTTAATTTCATGAAATAGCCAAAAAGATGTAGAATGCTTGAAAACAAAGTTTGGTGTAACTTTGGTTACGAAACTAAGATAGCTCACAATCAAGTTTGACACATACAAGAAACAACCTAATCATAATATAAGGCAGCATGTAAGAGAGATATCAAACATGATAAGCGAACTAAAGGAGGTTGACCACATTCTGATAGATGAACGATAGGTTCAAGCTATTATTCATTTTTTATCATATAAATAGAAGCATGTAAAAGTGCACCTTACCCACAATAAGAGTATAAGGACTCTTAATGATATTTCTCATCATCTTCAACTGGAGAAAGATCGTATAAAAGTATCTAAGCCTAATGTTGATGCATATATGAAATCATCTAATTTAAAAGAGGTTTCAGGCTTAAAGCACAGGCCATATGGTGAGAACAAAAAAAAAAGCTCCTAAGAGGCCAAAGAGTGGCTAAACAAGCAAAGAACAAGGTCCTAAGGCTCATCTTAAGAAAAACAAACCAAGAGTCAAGTGCTTTAACTATGGCAAAAGGGGTCACTTTGCTCATGAATGTAACGAGCCAAAGAAAGTACAAACCCTTAAAGCATTTTTACGTAATGCTAAAAGTATAGTGTTTGTTTCTAGTACTATTATGATGATTGAATCACATCCTTTGTGGATTATAGACTTAAGGGTTATAGAAGGTATAGCATGAAATAAGAGTTTGCTCATGGATTTTCGTTGGATTCCATGTGAATCAAAATAGATCTATGTAGGAAACAATTCATGGATTGAAGTATGAGAAATTGGCACTTGTAAGCTATACATGCATAGTGAAAAAACCCTTATCCTACATGATGTACTTTTTGCTCTTGATATTTAATGAAATTTGGTTTCTACCACTATTTTTCTTAGTTTAGGATTTGTTTTGAATTTCAATAGTACTGGTTTAAGTTTGTATTTGGATACAACTTACTATGAATATGGATATTTATCATATGGTTTTATTATGTTAGATATTATTATGTACAAGCTTTTCTCTTATGATTGATTCTGACATGAATATTAATGTGAATATTTGGCATACTAAACTTGGCCATATATGTCAACATAGAATGGATAAATTAGCAAAAGAGAGATTATTAGGCCCTATTGAGAAAGTTAATTTATAATTATGTGAAAATTGTCTAGTAAAAAAAATGATAAGAAAATCATTTGGTCAAAGAACTGAAGTTGATGTTCCATTATAGTTAACATATTCTGACATTTGTGGCTCGATGAATATTTGGTCATGGAAATGAGGTTAGTATTTCATCACATTCATTGATGATTTTACACGTTTCGGGTTCATCTATTTGATTTTTTGCAAGTTTGAAGCATTAAAGTGCTTTAGAAAGTATGTGACATTGGTAGAGAATCAATTATATAAAAATGTTAAGGCATTAAGAATGGACTGAGGATGTGAGTATTTGTCTAATCAGTTCAAACAATTATGTGATGAAAAAGATATTGATAAACAGTTGACCATTCCTAGGACTCCACAACAAAATGGTGTTGCAGAGAGAAGAAATAAGATTTTTTTGGAAATGGTAAGGTTTATGATGGCTTAAGCAAATTTGTCAATCACCTTTTGCGATAATGCATTGTTAACTGCTGCCTATATATTTAATAGAGTACCTTTCAAATCAGTTATGTCCACCTGTTATAACTTATGGACTAGGAGAAAACATGATCTTAGTAATTTGAGACCTTGGGGTTGTGTTGCATATGTACATTGGACTGTTCATCCACATGACATGCTAGGTCCTCAAAGCAAAAAAATTATATTTGTAAGATACTTCGAGCAGTCAAAAGGATATGTGTTCATAGGTGAACAATTAAGTTGGGGTGTAACTGAATTTGAATCTCGGGATGCCACTTTTTTAGAAAATGAATTTTAAAAAAAGGTGAGATAAATCAGGAAATGTTTCTTTAGAGATTGAAGAAGTAAATGATTTGTTAGTTTCAAATCAATTAATGCATGTTCTTGATTAAGAAGCAACAGTATTTTATCCAAATGGGAGCATGACTAAAGATGATGAATTTGATGAATTAGTTTTTCTAACAGCACAAATCAGGTGAAGTAATCGTAGAAATATTCTCTGACATCATTTTGACATAAATGAGAAAGTGTTCTTGATTACCTCATAAGATAAAAAAAGTAAAAAAAATGTTAAAAAAGGCTTTTTCATCTTCTATAAAAAAAAATTGGATCAAAGCAATGGAAGGGGTGATGGAGTCTATGAGATCAAATCATGTTTGAAAATTGGTTGATCTTCTTAAACAATGTAAAGCAATTGGAAAAAATGGGTTTTTAAGATTAAACGTAAATTAGAAGGAACAATTGAAAGATATAAGCCCGTCTGATAGTGAAGGGGTATATTCAATGAGAGGGAATTGATTATAAAGAAACTTTCTTTCCTGTTATGAAATTTATCTTGATACACTTAATTCTAGCCATTGTAGTTAGTTTAGATTTGGAGTTACATCAAATGGATGTGAAAACTATCTTTCTAAATGGAGGATTGGAAAAGAAAATCTATATAGAACAACCTATAGGTTTCATTGACAAGGGTTAAGAGCATAAAATATGCAAGTTGTTAAAATTGATTTTGACCTTAAACAATCTTTCAAATAATAGTATATTAAATTTCATCAAGTGATAGTTTCATATGATTTTGTCATGATTAATGACGACCACTAAATGTATGTCAAAAGAGACAAAAATAAATTTGTGATCATGTCATTTTATGTATATGACATACTATTGGTTGGTAATAATAAGAAGTATATTATTAAGGTGAAAACTTGGTTGTCCTTAAATTTTGAAATGAAGGACATGGACGAAGTAGCTTACATACTTAGTGTAAAAATTATGAGAGATCATTCCAAGAAGTTGTTAACTCTTTCACAAGAGTAATACATTAAGAAAGTTCTAGAATAATTTAATATGTAAGAGAAAGTTCTAGAATAATTTAATATGTAAGATTGCAAGCCGATAGATACTTCTATGGCAAAAGATGAAGGCCTTAGCCAGAAAATGTGTCCTATGACTCCATAAGAAAAAAAAGAAATGGCAAGAGTTCCTTACTCTAATGACTTTGAAATCCTTATATATACTATGATGTGCACAAAGTCGAACATATACTATGCCATGGGTATACTAAGCGAATATCAATCTAATTCAGGTCAACTCCATTAGAAAGCCATTAAAAGGATATTGAGATATTTAAAAGGCATTATGTATTATTCATTGTGCTATTAAGGAAGTGATATGTATTTGGTCGATTATACAGACATCAATTGTGAAGGAAATTTAAATGAAAAAAATCTACCTCTAGCTACATTTTCTTGTTGAATAGTGAGGCTATTTCATGGATCAGTAAGAAATAAACTTATATAGAACTATCCATAATAGAATCTGAATTTGTATCATTTTCAGCAACAATACAAAAAACTATTTGACTTAAGAGATTCTTTAATCATTTAAGATTTAAGAATGATGAATCCAACTTAGTGTTGGTGAATTGTGATAGTTATGCTGCAATCACATTTACAATTGATCCCAAATATCATTCTAAGATCAAACATGTAGATACTAAGTATAACTACGTGAGAGACATAGTTTCACAAAATAAAGTGAACATGCAGTACATTTTTATGCAGAAAAGGATTGTAAATCCATTCACTAAGCCCATACTTAAAGATGTGTTTAATAGCTACATGAGATCTCTAAGATTGCATAGATATTGAAGTACATGTACTGAGTTTTATATGAACAATGTATGATATTTTTTCATTTGAGTTGACTTGTATTGAATACAATTATTGCCATTAAAGTTTAGATCTTTGTTTTGAGATGCATGCACACATGTATATATGTATATATACAACATGATTCGAAAAGTATGTTAGATAGATAATTAACCTTCTCACACAGGCAATCATCTCAATAGTTTGGCACCATGGAAATGATATTAGTTTTAAGCTATAGGATTGAAAGCCCAAGCTTAAAACAAGAATTGCCTTGAAAAGGGATCGAAATGAGGTCACTTGATATTGAGATTTGTGACCAAAAGTGAATAAATCTAGAATTCACTTTGTTTGTCTTAATATGCTAAGTGAAAGTCCTGTTGATTATATAAAATCAAGTAAAGTTGTGGACTCAAGTTAGATACTGGGAGTATCTAAACTATCATTTATACAGTATTGTTATATAAATGATGAAAGACATATGCTCTCTAAGAAAAAGAGAGTAATACCGTAGCATGTGCTTCATACCACATGTTAATTGTTCGACCAACAAGGGTAATGTAAGAATAAATCTCTGCTTCTTATTGTGTGAGACTTTTGAGATAAGAAGATCTCATATTTAGTACTGTTAAGGACTTTTGATTGTTTCTTAAAGTTTCAGTTCAATGTTAGCTATCTTAGATTATTGCCAATAGTCATGGATGATTCGATTTAATCAGACAAATCTGAATAGCAATTGAATTGAAATGGAGAGTTTTTAGAAAAATGGAAAATCATTTTGGTGACACGTTTGGTTGTATTCATAGGTTGACCAATTATGTTTGAAACATTGAACATAATTATGAATACACAAGTATATCATGCAATATGATAAATGAGAGATCGTGAGAAACTTGAAATGTGACTGAATGGGTTTAGGATGCTACATACTTACTTTACTTGTATTTAAAAGTTACTATACATACCTAATAATTGTATAGTGACTATATGTGATTATGAGCTGCTATATGTGATTATTACAATTTTGACGAGGAGTTCAATTTAAAATGCTTGGCCGGTCAATCAGTCATGACAAACTTTCTAAAGCATGATAATAAAATCAAACCTTTACCTACCAAAAGAAAAAACCTATGACAAACAGCTTGCTCCTTTATTTATTTATTTTTCATATGGTCACTGTTCATTTCACCTACTTCTACCTGTAATTGTCCGATTCTACTATTATAAGTCCAAGTCTGTCATCACACTCTTATCTTAATCCTTTTAAGTTATTTTATGTATAACAGAACTTTTTTTAGTAATTTTTATAATCAGAGAATGAGGCTACACCTTTCAAGGAAAAGTAGGGCAGGAGCTCTTAAATTAGCAAGGAAAAAGAAAAAGGAATGAATAAATATAATCCACTAACCCATTCCCTATATGAACCATGGCCACTACTCCACTTCCTTCTTGCAAACAAATTAATCAGATGTTCTGGACGATTTTTAAACAGTGATTCCCTCCCTTATTTCCTCTGAAACTCAAAAACATATATGGCTAGATACTACAGATATTCATACTTAGACTATCTGTCCCCTCCTCCTCTCCACCTATGTTTCTTCGTTTTCATACTCTTCTTTGTACTGGGTTTATCCTGGTACATAAACTATGAGTCCATGTTTGAGGATTTCATCAACCAGCTGAAATTCTTCCTGATTCTGTCCCCGATTGTTCTGCTGCTTCTGGTTCACTGCTTATCAGGGAGCGTTCCTTTCCTCATTCCACTGCCGGAGCAAGATTCACTTCATAGAGCAGGAGGGTCGCCATGGGGGGTAGCCCTTGTGCTTGTGTTCCTTCTTTATATGATCTCTTATCAGTCTTCTTTTCACGAGCGTTAGTTTCCGTTAGGGAATAAATAATAGTGATCTATTTACGGACATGTATGTGTGGTTGATGTTGAGCTTGGCTTGTTCTTTTTTGGTACACAAGACTTGCTTTTGTATCTTACATACATATATATATATATATATGTCAGTTGTATGTAGGTAGCTTTGTCGTTAATTTGTAAGATTCTATAACTATAAGATATTAATGGTATTTGCTTTATTGATATATATATATATATATATATTTATATATGTTGATTTGATGTTGTTTCTTATGTTATGTCTAGAATTGTTGTCTGTCTCATACTCTCATAGTACTTTAGCGAAGTTTTTACCATAAAATCATTTCAGGGTCCCAGATATTTAATTCATTTTAATCTAATAGTCATTCTGCGATTTCTGTTGTGTAGCTTAGCAATTAGGTTTTGCATAGGTACTTTTGAGGCAATTGTAAATGCTTAATTGGCTTTTCTTATATATTTTGTAAATTAATTCTTATGTGTTAGTCTTACTCTAATCACAAATTTCGCATCTAAAATTAAAATGAAAAATTATAAATAAATAATAATTTTTATTTATCATATAATTATTTGAAAATTACTATCTCGTGAAATTCTCAAAATAAAAAATTTTCTATAATTATTTCTTTTACAAAAAATCCACTTCAAGGATTTTGAGCAAACGGAATTATTCCCTTTCTTTTATATGGAACAAAATCAAAAAAATAATTTCTTAAAAATTCTCAAAATCCAACTATTGTGTTATTTGAGTTCTTCAAAATTTTTTCAATTCTTCAAAAATTGATTTTTTAACCTTTGAAGAGATTTTTGGTTTAGACAATCTTGGATGATTTCATATTCGTATTATTTGGGATTTGATTTTAGTTGAATGAATCTAGATATATCTGAACAATTTTGAAAATTTACAGGTAATAAACTTTTTTTTTTTATAATTTGGAATATAATAATTAATTTTACTTTTTATATAATTAAATAAAAATATGACAAAAATACCAAAGTTAAAATTGAAAAACCAATAAATTGTTATATAAATATTCATCATATAATAATTTTGTATTTTAATATTATTCATTACTCTTTTAAAAAAAATTACCTACTACTTTTTTAGTCCGTCTTATGAATTCAAATAACTGAATAACTAAATGTCTAATATATAAGAATAAAAGTCTAAAACCAGTGGGTTAGTCAAACAAATCATTTCAAGGTAATAAAGCTCACTAAATATTTATATATATGGTTTTTTTATCTTTAAGTCCTAAGTTAATAATCTATTGGATCATTTGGCATTTAACCTTAGTTACTCATTCCAACAATTTTTCATTTTTATTTTATTTTATTAGGTATTTTAGTTATTATATTATGATTATTTAACAAACGTTTTAAATTTTCAAAAATTTTTCTTGCATTTATTTTGTTTTTTGGTTTGGAAATAAATGAAATGCCAACATAATTACATTAGATCTAATCATATACATTATTGGAAAAAATGTTCAATTAAAATGTTGAATAGTTGACATTAAAAGATTATCAATTAATTGGTTTAGTCTTAATAATCAACACTTAGAAATTTTGAAAAACCATGATATGTAAAAAATAATTAATATAGTATTGATCTAATTTTAATATTTGACCATTTTGAAATTAACATTAGATTAAGAATATTCTGTTAGATAAGTGGTCTACATGTTATTATTTAACTTAAGTAAATAACTTTTTATTTATGGCTTAGTAACTTAAGTTAATAAGTTAAGTAATTATGGTTTCATTACTATTGTTATTAATGCTCATTTTGATCAATGCAAATAAAAGAGAGATGTTATTTCAATGTAAATGCAAATGTTGATGGCACATATAAATAAAGATAATTAAAAGTTGAAGAAACGCTCTTCTTTGTGCTTATAAAATAATGCTTTCTATCCATCAAGAAAGTAGGTAAAAGATTAAAAGGTCAAGAGAGAGTAACAAAAAAAAATTTATAAAACATTTTATTAAACGAAGTTATAATGGATTAACATATGATTTCTTTTTAATAAGAGAATTATGAAAATAATCTTATTCTAAGACCTTAAGCATTAAGATTATGCAAAATTAAGATTCAATTTGCATAATAAAAAAAAGTAACATATGGTATCAGAGCTTTTGATTTAAGAACTTGTGATTTTCCTTTAAAGATTGCTCTTTTATATTTGTTTTTATTAATTTTTATGATCTACTTTTATGTTGATGTTTGTTATTAATTTTGTTTTATATTATATTAAAAGTTAAGAGTTTCAATGTTTTTTGCAAGTTAATATTGGCATGGTACATGAAATCCCAAAACAATAATTAAAGCTTCTTTTATTTAGTTATTTATTTTGGATATCATTAAATTGTTGTTCATTTAATTAAAATATTACTCATCTCTTTGCATGAATTTAGTAGAACAATAAATCATATTTATTAGATTAATTTATTAATGAAGAAACATATAACATAATGAATATATATTTATTAGACTAATGAATATATAAAATAAAAGATATATAAAAGGTAAAGAAAAGTAATAAAGATTTCATAATCAATGTAAGACAAAATGAATGAAACTCAATAGTTATTAAATTGTAAATAATATAATTAAATATTATGAGTTTTATAATAATTATGAAAGCCATTAATGTAAATGAATGTTTGACTATTTAATGCCTATCTACTTGTTATAGTATATATATGTTGCATTTTACTGTATATGTGAGATACATCAATTATGTAAAATTTATATATGATAGTTTTTAGATATTTTATTTACTCACAACAATAACACCTTCCTCATATTATGTTTGGATTATCATTTTGTCAAAATAATTGTTATATTTATATATTTTAATATTTATAGTATGAATAATTTGTTAGTCAATGAAGTGGCCAAATTGAATTTTTTTTTTTTATAGATATCAAATTAAATAAAATTCAATTACTCTAAATGAGATGAAATAACAATAAATATTTATTGAGTAAATTAAAGTTCAATGATTATAAAATATTTAAGGATCGTCTAAAGGTATATTGGTTAATTTTATAATCATGAACATAATCCTGGTTGATAAATATAATTCATTAGATATTTTCGCATATCCAAAGATAACAAATATATCTAGTTGGAGTATATATAATTGCCAATTATATGAAATCAAAATTAAGTATCAATTATGTTTATTGTTGTACAATGTTGGATCACCCAAAAGAAGAACTTCAATGTATATTTAATGTTTATATGTATGTTATTTGAATCTGTATCATGTATTTAAGTTACAACTCAAACATTAACGTATGAGTATTATATCTATTTTGTAGCATTTGTCCTATTTTTCTTTAATCGCAAGCTTTGTCTATTATAAAGTTTAATGGGCTTAATTTTTCTAAGTGGTGTGAACAAGTTCAGTATCATCTAGGTGTTTTGGATCTTGATTTAACACTTCTGACTAATAGGCTTGCTACTATTACTGAGTCTAACAGTACTAAACAAAAATCTTTTTGTAAGCTTGGGAAAGATCAAATAGACTGAGTTTAATATTCATGCCAATGACAATAACAAACAACATTAAATTAACAATTTCTAAAACTAATAATGCTAAGAAAATTTTGAAGTTTATGAAAAATATGTCTCAATCTAACTCAGCTAATAAGTCACTTGCTGGGTATGTTAACTACCATGAAATTTGATGGTTCTCGTACCATGCATGAGCATGTCACTGAAATATCAAACATAATAGTAAGATTAAGATCCATGGGAATGGAAGTGAGTGAAAGTTTTCTTGTATAATTTATTATAAATTCCTTGCCTTATGAGTATGGTCCATTCTAAATAAATTACAACACTATAAAGGATAAATGGAATGTGACTGAACTACAAAATATGCTTATTCAAGAGGAAGCGAGACTTAAAAAGTAAAGAATTCACTCAATCTCATAGGGCAACTAGGAGCTAAAAAGAAACCAGTAAAGAAAAATGAAAAAAAGGGTAATAAAAGACCACTAAAGATTAATATGTCATCTTACCAAATTCACAAGAAAGAACAAAAGAAAGATAAATGTCAATTCTACGAAAAGTTCAAATACTATAAGAAAGATTGCCTAAAACATAAGGCATGGTTTGAAAGGAAAGGTAAGCCTAGTGCTTTTGTATGTTTTGAATCAAATTTGGCAAAAGTTCCTTATAATACTTGGTGGATTGATTTTGGTTGCACCACTCATATTTCAAATATAATACAAGGATTACTTATGACGTAAACCATTTAGATACCAGTTGAAGCCATTGGAACCTACCATTTATTTTAAACACTAAACATTAGTTAGATATTTTTTAAGCTCTTTATGTTCCTTTTATTTCTCTAAATCTAGTTTCTTTGTCTAAACTTGATGCGTATGGATATACTTTTAAATTTGAAAATGTATGTTTAATAGTTTATTTAAACATAATCATTTTATTGGCTTTGGTATTTTATTTTATGATTTATACAAATTAAATCTTCATAACCTTTGTAATGAGACCTTGTTGACCTTACATTATAATGTTGGTACTAAACATGGTTTAATGAATGAAAATTTAGGTTACTTATGGCATAAACGTTTAGGTCTTATATCCAAAAAAAGAATATAAAGATTGGTAAATAATGAAATCTTTTCTAATAAGGATTTTATTGATTTTAACATTTGTGTGGTAAGGGAAAACACACAATTAAGAAAATAGCTACAATAAGTGCACAGCTCCTTGAGATTATAGACACTGATATTTGTAGACCTTTTAATGTTTCATCTTTTGATAAAGAAAAATATTTTATCACCTTTATTGATGATTTTTCACGTTATAGTTATGTCTACTTATTGCATGAAAAATCTTAATTAGTAAATGCTTTGAAAGTATTTATTAATGAGATGGAAAGACAATTAGACAGTAAGGTAAAAATTGTCAAATTTGATAAAGGTGATGAATATTATGGAAAGTATCATGAAAATAGACAATGTCCTAGTCCATTTGTTAAATTCCTTAAAAAACATGACATATGTGCTCAATACACATTGTCAATCATATCGCAACAAAATGGTATTGCATATTAATGTAATTGTACTTTAATGGACATGGTTATGAGTATGTTAAGTGATTAATCTTTACCCTTATCATTGTGGATGTAGACTTTGAAAATCGTCATGT